TGTTGTGGGAACTTGATTCATTACTGTATAATCTGACGTGTTCACTATTTGTCGGTTTAAGTTAATACTCGGTGCTATATGGACTTGACTCATCGCTGTGTGACCAAGTCGGTTCACTAATTGACTGTTAAAACTCACTGCTGTAGGAACTTGCTAACGGTGCGTGAYAGCCAACCTCAAACTCGATCCCTGCTGGTCGCTGAGGACCTCGGACGCGGGCGCGGCGAGTGACAGACGCCGTTGCCCTTGGCTTCAGCGACAAGCGGGCGCCCCTCCCCGGGTTTCCCTGACACCGGTACCACCCTGAATATTCCAGGCGCCGATGCCCTTTGCTTCCAGGCTCGGAAAAATTAAAAATGAGGCTCGTACATTTAGCCTCCGCCCTCAGGTGTAGTGGTGGTTTAATCAACAAACGCGCCTAGCTCAGTTAGTACACCCATGGACGGTTGAAATACAGACCCGAGATCGAATCCAGATGCAACCAGATGACCAGAATAAAATAATTCTGAATTACCTGGGCCTGGTCAGTTCGCAGTTGATATCTCAAGGCCGTCGCTCTTATAAAAAAGGAAAACAAAAGGGTCCCCGGGGGGGGGGAGCAAAATCTTAATTGATCCTTTTCACCCCTGGGCTACCACATAGACCTTAGTGGATGCTCTACCGCTGCCAAAATCTTAATAGCTCCTCTCAGCCCCGCGCTGTCTGATACACTTTACCGGCTAGAACCACCACTGCCCCATATTTTGTGTCTGTGATGATTTTCTCACCCTGTGGTCTTCGGTATTTAATATGGTATTTATTGACCTCACATATATGGGCATGTTGCCATGTACTAAGCTTTCTCCGGATGTCAACTGGCCGGGCATTAACAAACAGCATGACTCTTATTACAACAAAGAAAGTGTAAAATGGAAGCTACCGTCTTCACCCGAATAGAACGCCCGGTAATTATCGCAGTATCTGGGCTGCAAGTTGTGCCAAATACAGCTATAATGACTGGGCGTTCTATTCGGGTGAAGACGGTAGCAATCCCAAATAAGGTGCTAAACAGCCACACACCGTGTCACATATGTCTCATCTCAACCTTAGCATGCCACATAGTGCAGGGTGTATTACCAGGTGGCGTGATCTATATGCAGTAAACAAGGAACACATGCAAACATACTGTCATGTAGAGTGCACATCCGACTAACACACTGCGATGTAATCCCTGCGTCAACCAGATCACAATATATACTGAACACGCTACTGAGCATGGCACATTGCATAGAACAGACCAACACAGCACACCTGGCTTACAACCACACATACATGGTCCCCATCCTCTCCCTTCTCCCTTCTTCAACTCCCTGCGTCCCTGCCCCCCATGCATCCCTCATAGAAACTACACCAAGCCGTGAACCTCTTTTTCCCTCAAATCCCACAGCCCTGTCCGTCTCTTCTCTAACTCATTTGCCACAAGCAAAGCTGCGATGTTTGGCAAACCCTAAAACCTAAATCCTAAACCTGAAACAGTCAGAAAGTCAAGGAATTTAGTGCCACAAGAGATGCTCATACCTGCAGCAGTGAAAACCCGAGGCTTGGATGCAACAAGAACTTGATGAAAACATTCTTTGGTTCCTGCAGAGAGAAATGTTGTTGCGACAGTCAATCCGGCGTTTGGATCTGTGCCCAACTTCAGAAGACTTATTTTGTTTATTTATTAGTATTTCAATACATGAAAGAATACAATGAATGAATGAAACCTATGACTGCAGTTCTGTAACAAACAGGTTGCTGAACTTTAGTCCATGAGGCAGAGTTCTCCCCTAGTCTAACGAACTGTCAAATTACCAGTGGGTCCTCTCACATCCCCTGCCTTTGTCAAACTCGCACCACCGTCCCCATAGTAGCTGCAGAGAAGTAATAGTGCACACCACAACAAAGAGATTATGTACGCTTGGCAATCAAAAAATTTTCATTGCTATGGACCTTTCCTTTCCTTCTCCTTCTCTCTCTCTCTCTCTCTCTCTCTCTCTCTCTCTCTCGCTCACTCGCTCTCGCGCGCGCGCTCGCTCGCTCGCTCTCTCTCCCCACCCCCCCCCAAAAAAAATCCCCTCTTTGCGTTACAAAAGGTGACAATGACTGTAACCCTTTTACACTGGTTTCTTCTCACACGTTTTTGGACTGCAGTCCGCTACGGCTTGATTCCCTTCAATCATTCCCCTCATTGTATGCCGATGATTTGATGGAAGTCCTTGAAATAACCTTGGATATTGCCTGTCCCAACGCACTACGTGCCAATAAATTCAGACTCTTTTCAGAGGCAAGTGCAGCATCATTTACAGCTCATTGCCATGGGTGTCAGAGTGCACACATGCGAGCTTCAGAGGGCTGCATCATATGAGCCCCACTTCAAGTAACCTGCCGTCTCAAAAAGCCACCACTATAGGGTCCATCCGATCCCAAGCACAATTCCGGTAGTGTAATAGCCCCAAAATTGCAGACGGAGATTTCTGTGTTTTTTCTAATTTTTCAGCTGTACTGTGTGTTTTGTTTGCTGAGATTTCTGACGTCTGCGTCTGTTAGAATTAGGGATGCACGGGTAGAGCGGGCCTGAGCGGCAGGAAGTAATCAATGCTGCTGTCTCCGGGGCCTTTGACCACAACAAAGGGAAGCGCAGAGGGCGTATTTGATGTAAGAAACACTGGACCCAATTTCCAGGTTTATAAATAAAATATTAAAAGTTAAAAACCATTAAAAATGTTGCTAAAAAAAAAAAACATGAAAGCTGGGAGAAGATGCAGCAAATCAAAGGGCAGACTTAGGAACATACTTGCGGCGCACTGGTGCAGTGCGCGCGCTATGCGCCTTGCGCAAATTAGTGCAGTGCAAAAGACGGATGCGTTTTTTTTTTTTTCTTTCAAGGTGGGATGTGTGTCTGTACAGATATGAGAGAGAGAGAGAGAGAGAGAGAGAGAGAGAGAGAGAGAGAGAGA